AACGAAAATTTAAGATACGGGAATGTGGTGAACATAGTTCTCAGATCTTTGATGAAGTAGCAGTCTGAATTTGGCTTTGCAAACACAAGACCAGCCAGAAGCTTATTTAAACTCACTGTTCTAGTTTTCAACCGGCAAACTAAAATTCGCCAGACGCTACATTCAAAAATAATGAATTTTTAAAATTAAAAAAAAAAATCCAGCTGCACAAGCCCTAGCGGTTCTGATTCTGTTGCAGAACAGGACGATAGCATTGAGAGAGTAGAATCGCAACGCATTTTTCCGTACTCGCCAATTTTACCAGAATTTCTCGATTGATTATTTTTTCTTGGAAATCCGATGTCAGTGATGCTAACAGTTTCAAATAATTTATAAAAAATTCTTTTTAATATGTAGTTCATTTAGGTCGCATACAGTAATTTAGATCGCATACAATTTAGATCGTATACATTTCATTTAGATCACATTTAGATCGCTATCACGCAATTTATATGTGGGACACAGAGAACCAGCAGTATAACAGGTGTGACTACTTTGGCCTATGTGGCCAAGCGATCTTTGCTGCGATATTGTATAGTGGTAATAAAACCAAGAAAAAGGTTTGCTGTCGCCAACGGAAGTCAATGTTGGTGTCGCGAAATTATGCAAACAATTACAACCAGATGTGAAAACTGTAGGTTTAACAATTACAGCCGTATGTGAAAAGGCGATTAAGAAGTGTTTCACAGTGCGTGCAGAGCGTTATAAACATTTTGGGAGTGCACATTGATGAAAAATGGTGTATGAAGCTCAAAGCTCAAAGTTTCATTTAAAAAAAAGACACCGACCACACAATAAGTTAACAAGAAAAGATGAATTTTCCCACGAAAACCTTTTTTTTAATTTTATAATTTCGTAAAAAGTCCATTTTTGAATCGATTTCCGACGAAAGCTAGTATTAAACTGTTTATCTAATGAATGTGCCCGGGAGAATTGGAACTCGCTGCATTATCGTTTAAATGTTTATACTTATCGAACATCTGAGATCAAACATTCCGCATATTTCATAATTAAGCATTTCTTCATTCGCAAATAATCGCTGTCATTAACACATCCGGCGTGAACTCGAGGACAGATGGGATTTACGATAATATCGCGAACCACTTTTCGCCAAGCCAAGACAAATGTCTTTGTCCTTTTCTGAAGATAAACAGTGATTGGTGTTTGATTCGTAAATCGCAATATCCTGAAAGTGTAGAAATAAAATTACTAGAAATTTCAGATAAGGAAATCCTATCTGAAGAAAAAAAGTGATAGTTCGAATATGAAAAGTTTCTTTTGGGATTTATTTTGAGAAACTTTTAGTCATT